TACTGGGGACAAGTATCATCAAGCGGCCCCTACAGGGAAAGTGCTGCATGCATAAATAGAAAACACGTCTTTTATCCTTATATAAGTGTGGATATAATCCACACCTACAGTACACACAAAACAACATTCATAAAGGGTGGGGGCAGAAGAAGGTCTCTAAATATAAATATAAAAGCATACTCCATGTTGTATATCTGCTACATTGGCAGAGGAATATATATTGCAAGCAGGGGCGGACTGACCATTTGGAAACTCGGGCACTGCCCGAGGGCTCAGGGTCAGTAGGGGGCCCCATGAGATGCCCCTGGTACCTTTTTCATAAGCTTTTTTGAGTTTGGGCAAAGACACAGGGGCCCCATGATCCCCTATTGCCCGGGGGCCCCATGAGTTGTCAGTCCGCCCCTGATTGCAAGATATTTCAATTCAGTTCACTCACCCTTGAAATGGCAAATCACGTATACCTCAAGGGTGCCTACAGTTAATCGAATGTAATAACATGTCACATGTACTGTATATGTAGCAATCCAACCAACCATTTAGTCACTATACAAAATTTTGAGGCGTGACATATTTATCTATTTACTCAACACAACTTCATCTTTTATATTTTTCAAAAAAGGTTTATAACGTCTTTGTGTACACTCATTTTTTTTACTGAATATACAGATTTTTTAGACAGTAGTGCAAGTATTTTGTAACATAAAAAAATCAACTACCAACATTTTATTTTTTTAGGGTCTTTCCTTTTGAAAATAAATAATGTTTAGGGGCTTTAAGTGAGTTTTTATGTATAAAAATGTGCTTTAAATTATAAATGCACAAAAAGATTAAAATAACTGCTCTGCCAAGGAAAGGGTTACAATGGACCTAGCTGCTCTTATATGGTACAAGATTTATCAGATATATTTTGATAAAGTTATGTGGGAGAGCGGTTGGCTTAGTGTTTACAGCATCAGAGTGCCAATTCTTTACTCAAAACACTCTCTTGGCATCCAAGCAAATACTCCATATCTTACAAAGTTCCCGGCCACGTGACCATCTATCGATTTCCAGAGAGATATAAAAGTATTCTTTTTATATTTTCCATTTTATGTTATCCTATCATCAGGAAAGTGTACTGGAAATGTTGGCTAGAAATGGTTATAGTGTTCTAGATCACATGGCATGACTCTGCCTATTTATATATTCGTGAATCAGTAAATCATGAACATAGCCTCTGACACAATGCAGTAAAAACCATCCTTATTCCGCTTACTGCCATAATATCTGCCAAATAATAAATCTGCCACTTTTTATCAGTTTTATTCTGATTTTTCCTAGAATTACTCGGGTGTTTGCTTTCTTAGAACCTCACCCCCGAAATTATTTCCATTCTTAAAATATTGTCATATTGAACATTTTTTTTTGTATTGTTTCACTGTTTTGCATTTTGTAAAAAAAAAAAAGGTAAATGACTGTTGGAGTCCTTTTTTTTTTTTTGAGTGATTTGCATTTTGTACACTTATTCTCTTGTGTACGAACCCTGTCTCATGCCCCGTACACACGATAAGAAAATTGTACGAAAAAGTTTAGGGAGCCACTGATCGAATGATTTTCTCTTTGTTTATGAGCAGGATGTTCTAACCGATAACAATATTGTGAACAAAAAAATCTGGTTGAAAAACAGTGAAAAATGTTGTTTCACATACGAACAACCGATTTTCTATGCGGTGGTATGATGGTCGTACGTAAAAAAATCTATCAAGCGCTATCACGCATGAGCGGAAACAGAAGATGACTCGGATGTTAATGTCCAACGAATCTTCATAAACACGAACGAAAAATCCAATTGTTAAAAGTAGATTGGCCTAATGAGATAATGAAACCAGAATTCTACATATTATATTTTATGTATCACTATTTTTGTATATAAATAATGTAATAAACGATATTATACTCATTGTTAGTAATTGTGTCCGTTCTGGACGGAAGGGCGTGGCTACAAGGTCACACGCACACTGCATCACTTCCACTTGTACAGAAGACGTCAACATTACGTATTGCCCGACAAACTATTTTTTTGTGGGCCATGATTTCGACCAACGAACGAACGCCTCTCAGTTGTCAGATGACCGATCAGTTAATTTTCTAATTGTGTATTCCCACCTTTATGCTGTTGAATACCTAATTACATTTAATATGGTTTGATTCTAAGCTGTGTCCAGCCTGAGCTTTATTTTACCATTTTCTATGCTCTGCAGGTCTTCCCCAAGCTCAGTAGGTTGATTACTGCTGCCTGTTACTGTGAAAGAGATTTCGGTAATTAGAGTGGAAAGGATAATTGTTGAGTTACAAATATATACCGGACCCAAGCAATCCCTGTGGTTCTTGTTTGGGGGTATTGGGTGGTTTTTTAATATTATTATTATTATACAGGATTTATATAATGCCAATGGTTTGGGAGATTTTCAATATTTGGGTCACCTGGATCACCTTTCCAGAGTGTTCTCTACCTCCTTTGCTTCTGCCTGGAAAGAATATGTGTTTAGAGTGTCTCTTCGCTTGGGTGTTGCCTCAGCGTGGGCCATGTGCCATATATCCCAAGGACTTAACCATTGCCTGTCATAGTAGATTTGGTGCCGGTTTAAATATATGCGGATTGGATGCGGTTTGAATCGCGAATGCTTCGGGAATGCTTCATTTTTACTGTATGCAAGCTCATTGCAAAATGAATTCCCATGGATAGTTAGTAAGTTTAAAAAGATAAAAGTAAAACCTATGTCATTCTTGGCCAATGTTAAAATAGCTATAAATAATATGAAAAGAGCATTTAAAACATATAAAAATGAAGGAACACTATCATCATTTGAAAGTTACATAGAATATTAACAGAATATGTAGGAAAAGGAGATCAAGGCCGCAAAAATTCAAAACGAAGGTCAGACTGCAAATGAGAGTAAGACATGCCCCATTAAATTCTTCAAATATAAGAACAGTAAAAAGGTCAGGTCTCAGCATGTAGGGCATATAACTAGATAATTATGAGTTGTGGTGACTGGGGTGGAGGCAAAGAGAACGCAAATGTATTAAATAATTTCTTCAGCTCTGCGTACACAAAGAAGCATGAGGGAGCTCAAGTCTTTGATGGGGATAGTATTGACTTAGCCCCAAATGATCCACAATGGCTCAAAATTGACATGATTCAGAAACATTTAGGCAAAATAAAGGTGAATAAAGCACCTAGACAAGATGGATTTCACCCAAGGATCCTCAAAGAGTTGAGCTTTCTTATATTGTTTCTAATTTTTGGAAACTCTTCAATGACTCGCATAGTACCACTGGATTGGCATATTTAAAAAGGGATCAAAGTCTTTACCAAGTAACTACAGACCTGTTATTTAAGTTCTATAGTTGGGAAATTTCAGATAGTTTAATAAAAGATCACAGAGAAGAGTTTTTGCTAGAACATATTATTTTCAGCAATAGTCAGCATGGATTCACAAAGAACCAAAGAGGTCAAACAAATCTTATTTCTTTTTATGAGGAGGTGAGCGAAAACCTAGACAAAGGAGTGAGTGAGAACATAGTATGCAGTACTTGGATTTTGCCAAGTTCTCCACACACGGCTAATGTGTAAGGTAAAGTCTACGGGGTTAGAAAATTCAGTTTGTAAATGGATAGAAAACTGGCTAAAGATGGTATTCAGAGAGTAGCGGTTAATGATTCATACTCTGAATGGTCTAGAGTTGTCAGTGGTGTACCCCAAGGTTCAGTATTGGGACCCTTACTTGCCAATGGTTACTTACTTACTATAGTTATAAATAATACAAAGTTTGGGATTTTAGGTACAATTTCAGTCTTTGCAGATGACACCAAGCTATGTAGTGGAAAAACGTCCTTACAGGATGTCTCCAACTTAAAAGCCGACCTCAACGTACTGTTTAACCGCTTTCCGACCTCCTTATAGCAGAACTACTGCTACAGGGCGGCAGGGCTGCACAAAATCACAGATATATTTGTTTTTGTATTACGGGGTAGGGGGTGCGCACGCCCCGGCCAGAGATTCCCCGATGGCACCCGGCGATCGCTGAGCGACAGTGACAGAGGAGAGGTCTTTATGTAAACAATATAGATCTCTCCCCTGTCAGCACCAGCATGCTGCTTTGTATTGCTCTACATAGCAGAGCAATATAAAGCATCGTGCTTACACAGTAAAGCACACACAGACAAAATAGTAAAACAGCACACAGTTAACCCTTTGATCGCCCCAGATGTTAACTCCTTCCTGCCCAGTGCCATTAGTACAGTGTCAGTGCTTTTTATTAGCACTGATCACTGTATTGGTGTCACTGGGGATGTCAGTGGCAGTTAGTGAGTTCCCCCCCAGTGTCAGAATGCTCACTATGAGTTTACTGATCGCCGCCATTACTAGTATAACAAAAAATAAATTCCAGTATATATACTGCCATTTGTAGACACTATAACTTTAACGTACACCAATTAATTTACATGTATTGGGATTTTTTTTTAGCAAAGACATGGAGCAGAATACATTTTGGCCTAACTTTATGATGAAATTTGATTTTTAAATTTTTTACTGGATGTTTTATAGCAAAAAGTCAAAAATATTGTTTTTTTTTTCAAAATTGTAGATTTTTTTGTTATAACGCAAAAAATAAAATACACACAGGTGATCAAATACCACCAAAAGAAAGCTCAATTTGTGGGGAAAAAAATTACCTAAATTTAATTTGGGTGCAGCATTGCATGAACATGCAATTGTCAATTAAAGTAATGCAGTGCTGTATCACAAAAAATGGCCTGGTCAGGAAGGGGGGTAAATCCTATGGAGGGCAAGTGGTTAATTGGGTGACTATGTGGCAAATGAGGTTTAATGTTGATAAATGTAAATTTATGCATTTAGAGGCTAAGAATATGCATGCATCATATATACTAGGAGGAAAAAAGCTGGGAGAGTCATTGGTGGAGAAGGATCTGGGGGTTCTGGTAGATCTTAAGCTTACAGTGTTACTAAGGACTCTGGTCTACCCGGACCCTGCATTCACTATATCTGGTCTCCCAGAACCCTGCATTCACTATATCTGGTCTCCCTGGACCCTGCATTCACTATATCTGGTCTCCCAGGACCCTGCATTCACTATATCTGGTCTCCCCGGACCCTGCATTCACTATATCTGGTCTCCCCGGACCCTGCATTCACTATATCTGGTCTCCCAGGACCCTGCATTCACTATATCCGGTCTCCCTGGACCCTGCATTCACTATATCCGGTCTCCCCGGTCCCTGCATTCACTATATCTGGTCTCCCCAGACCCTGCATTCACTATATCTGGTCTCCCCGGACCCCGCATTCACTATATCTGGTCTCCCCGGACCCTGCATTCACTATATCTGGTCTCCCCGGACCCTGCATTTACTATGTCTGCTCTTCCCGGACCCTGCATTTACTATATCTGGTCTCCCACAGTGCACAGAACATAGAAATGTAATTATTTTAGTAAATATAAACTGCTAAATACCTTTTCTCATCAGCAGTTAGTGCAGTCTTGTGACTTCTATCAGTGTCCAACTAAGCACTGGTTAAAGCTTGTAGGAGGAGTTTTCATTCTGCTCAGACTGTCCTATGAGGCTGCATAACCCCTGACCCTCTGTCTGGACAGTGCTGATTGGCCTTGTGCTGATTACATGCACCCTCCCAAGAAAAAAAACTCTCTAGCAATATACACCAAACAGAGCATGTGCAGAGTGATTCCTAGAGCTCTGTACTATCAGCAGATGGATTGGGGATAGTAGAAGAAGGGGAGGATCAGAGAAGACAGGATCAAACAGCCTTTTTACACAATGTGGAGGATCAACCCCTTAGGTTCCACAGTGAGTATAATGAGCATGCTTTACTGCATATGCAGACTGATTTTACTGATTTGTGAGTTTAGTAACACTTTAGTAATGGCATGCAATGCCAAGCAAGCAAAATCCTTTCTTGTATTAAGAGAGGTATAGACTCCAGAGAGAGATATCATTTCCCCGGTACAAATCATTAGTAAGACCTCATCTGGAATATGCAGTTCAGTTTTGGGCTCCAATTCACAAAAAGAATACAGGGAACTGCAGAAAGCTCAGAGAAGGGCAACGAAACTGATAAGAGGCATGGAGGAGCTCAGCTATGAGGAAACATTAGAGGAACTGAATTTATTCTCTCTTTAGAAGAAGGTCATCACAGAGGACAAGGGAGCACTCTATACATCTGAAGGAAAAGAGATTTACCTGCCAAATACAGACAGGGCTCTTCACAGTAAGAGCTGTGAAAATGTGGAATAGACTCCCTCAAGAACTAATTCTGGCCAGCTCAGTGGATTGCTTTAGAAAAGAGCTGGACACATTCCTCTAGGTCAGCAGTGGGTATAGAATTATATATATGGGGATTTTCTATTACATTTTCCATGGTGAACTCAGACAGAAGTGAGAGTGGGTACCTGTCAAAACCTGATAACTTCTCCCCCCCAAAAGATGCCAAATGTGGCAGCGGAGAGGGGGAGAAGGCAGAAAAGTGGAGGGTCGACTTTTAGGTGGAAGTCCGCTTTAATCCTTGCAGCGCAGGTACAGTGCCAAAGCAAGCGGTCATTTTCAAGTTTCCCGGAGTTGGGCTTTAAATTTAGAAATTGCTTGTGTAGCAGTTATATATGTTTCATCAATGATCTAATGAAGGTGGAATTTTCCTTTAAAGATTGAGATGTCTTCACAAATACAAAATTGCTCACAGCCGCATGTATCTTTTGTAAGTTCTGAGGTCTCAGTAGAGTTTATGGGTCAAAACATTCAATTCCCGTAAGGGGGAGGCGATCTGCGTGCAACTCTGGTCATCTTATTTGTAGAAACTATTAGACAAGCGGGTTGGTCTGCCCACTGATTAATATACTGTGTATATACTGCCGCTGTTCTGGCCACTTAGGGATGTTGTGTAAGTTAGTATTATGCTTGGCAAGATGCGCATTTGGCTGCTGCTGCAGAAACCCCTCTCGTTGGCTGCATAAACACTGATGACAGGAAACCCCATGCACCAACAGATTCCAATTTATTTATTTTGTAAGAATATGCTTTAGAAGCAATTAGATGAGAAACAAAAATAGGTTTATAGAAACCTTAATAGCTGACAGTAAAAGTTCACTTACATCAGTTTGTTTATTTTATGTTTTCCACGGGATGGTGTTTAGTTTTGATGTTTTTTTTTTTAACTGTACTGTATTCTTTGAACTAAATATTGGTGTGGGGTATTTTTTTTTTACACTTATTCTGAATCACATAGTCAGGGGTGAAACTATATAATTAGGCTACCCTACAGAAAATGTTGATACCCTCATTCTCAGGATAGAGTTGGAGTTCGGTTACAGTCGCGGCATTTTGAAAACTCAATGTAGTTTCACCAATTGCCATCCTGAGGATTTACCCCCCCCCCCCTAACCACTTGCCCTCTAGAGGATTTACCCCCGTAACCACTTGCCCTCTAGAGGATTTACCCCCCCGTAACCACTTGCCCTCTCTAGAGGATTTACCCCCCCGTAACCACTTGCCCTCTAGAGGATTTACCCCCCCGTAACCACTTGCCCTCTAGAGGATTTACCCCCCGTAACCACTTGCCCTCTAGAGGATTTACCCTCCTTAATGACCACTTTCCCTCTAGAGGATTTACCCTCCTTAATGACCAGGCCTTTTTGTGCTATTCGGCGCTTCGCTATTTCAACTGGTAATTACGTGGTCATACAATGCTGTACCCAAACAAAATTTATGTCCTTTTTTTTTACACAAATAGAGCTTTTCCAGTAGTCAGTTTCCATCATTCCGAAGAGTTTTCCAAACGCCCCGTGTACATGAGCCCTAAGTGTATATTAATTGCTTTGTGTGAAAGTTATAGCATCTAAAAACTATGGTATAGATATTGCAATTTACGCCATTTTTTGCTATACAGTGCTGCGCTAGTTTAACTGACAATTGCGCGGTCATGCAGTGCTGTACATAAATGAAATTTATGTCCTTTTTTCACACAAATAGAGCTTTCGTTTAGTGGTATTTGATCACCTGTGCGCTTTTTATGTGTTGCGCTATAAACAAAAAAAGACCAAAAAACTTGGGAAAAATATATATTTTTTACTTTCGGCTATAAAAAATTATTATTATTATTATGCAGTGTTTATAAAGCGCCAATATTTCGCTCAGCGCTGTACATTACAAAGGGAGACAGAACATGTGACAGTACAATAACAATACAATGTGATACACGAGGGGTTCGAGGGCCCTGCTCTTTCGAGTTTACAATCTAGGAGGGAGGGGATGGTGGTACAGGAGGAGATAGCTGTGGGAGATGGACTGGTAGGAAGAGTGGAGGAGGTCGGCAATTAGCAGGGGGTGGGGTAGGCTTCCCTAAAGGAGAGGAGAGTAGGAGTACACTAGTACGTCTTCAGAAGGAGTGTGCCAGCCCTGTGCACACCCCTTCTGAAGACGTACTAGTGTACGAAACACGTCTTGGAGGAGCCTGCAAGCTTTGATGCCACGCCGCCGGGTTAAGGAGATCCGGCGGCCTCATTTGATCACCAGCTGCATTGAGCATTTAATCCCCCAGAGCTCCCCCTGGTGACCATTCCACTGCACTGAAGAGTCTGCACCCGTGTCCTTAAAGTGGACCTCCGGTTTGAGAACATTTATCAAGATGATGTCCATTCATCCTGGGCTGGCTCTATCCGTATCCTTAAAGGGACCCCCTGGCAGACCTCCGTTTTGTTGATATATTGCACAATTTGTTTGCGCTTCCGGTGAGTGCACATTTTATACATACCATGCCCCTCACCGAGTCTTACTTCAACTACGACCGTGGGAATATTATATCACCTCTGAGCTCTTATTTTTGTGGACTAACAACCCATTTATGAACATTGCCACCATAAATTTGTCCGAATTGCACCTAGCGCTGCACTTAATTTATTTACTAGTTTAACTAATAATTGCGCGGTCATGCAATGCTGTACCCAAACAAAATTTATATCCTTTCTTTCACACAAATAGAGCTTTCTTTTGGTGGTATTTGATCACCTGTGCGCTTTTTATATTTTGCGCTATAAACAAAAAAAGACCGAAAAAGTTTGAAAAAAAATTATATTTTTTTCTTTCGGCTATAAAAAATATATAGTAAACTCACAGTTAGTCATAAAATTTAGGCCAAAATGTATTCTGCTGCATGTTTTTGGTTAAAATAATCCCAATAAGTGTATATTGATTGCTTTGTGTGAAAGGTATAGCGTCTACAAACCATGGTATTGCTCACACAAGCCATGGGTATATGTGGAATTACACCCCAAAATACATTCTGATACTTCTACCGAGTATGGGGATACCACATGTGTGGTACTTTTGGGAGCCTAGCCACATACAGGAGCCTGAAACCAATGACCACTTTAAAAGCCTGAAGGTGCTTAACTTTCTCATTTCACTTCCTTACTACCTATCATACTGTAGTTTCGAAGGCCCTGAAATTCCAGGACAGCACTAAACCCCTCCAAATGACCACTTTTTGGAAAGTAGACACCCCAACAAATTTAAAAAGAGGCATGGTGAGTATTTTGCAGATCTAATTTTTTCTCACTGGGTTTTTAAATTTAAAAAAAAGATTTAAAAAAATACGTTTTTGTTTTCTTTCTTCATTTTCTAAAAACCTGTGGCAACAAATGAGATCTTCAAAATACTCACCATGCTTCTTATCAAATTCCTTGGGGTGTCTACTTTCCAAAAAGGGGTAATTTGGGGGGGTTTGGTGCTATCTTGGCATTTCAGGGCCTCCAAAACTGTAATAGGTAGTCAGGAAGTGTAATGAGGAAGGAAATAAAGCCCTTTAAAAGCCTGAAAGTGCTTATTGGATTTTGGGGTCCTGTACTTGGCTAGACTGCCAAAACATCTCTCACATGTGGTATCCCCATACTCAGGAGAAGTAGCAGAATGTATTTTGGGGAGTAATTCCACTTATACCAATGGCATGTGTGAGCAATAAATTATTTAAGTGACAAATTTGTGCAAAAAAGTTTTTTTAATTTTTTTTTGTAATTTTCCAAAAACTTGTGGTAAAAAAAATAAATTCTTCTATTGACTCAACATGCCTCTCAGCAAATAGTTTGGGGTGTCTACTTTACAAAAAGAGGTCATTTTGGGGGGTGGGGGCATTTTATGCCCAGCATTAGAAGTTTATGCCACACATCACTCACTCTTCTAACCACCTGAAGACCAAGCATTTTCTGACACTTTTTGTTCACAGAAATAAAATCAGTATATTTGCTAAGAAATTACTTTGAACCCCCAAAACATATATATTTTTTTTAAGCAGACACCCTAGTGAATAAATGGTGGGTCCTGCAATTTT